CCAAGAACACCCCATCTTCCAGCCACTTGTAAAGGGGAATGTAGCTCTAGGGGACGACTATTTTCTCCCCCTGCTCCTGGGCCCGCCTAGGGAGAGGGGGCAAGGCACTCTTGCCAACCAGGAGGGGCGGATCCTTGTTCCACCTATTGTATTTTTGGTTCAGTCGGCTATCAGAGGAATAGACTATGTAGAACTTTGTTCTCTAGTCCTTCCACTTGTTCTCCTTGTCGACTGCCATCATGTACCCCTTGCAGGTGGACAAGGTGTACCAGCCTTCACCGCCCTTAGCAGGCGCTCGGCTGAGATAATGCATGTGGGCGAATGCCTCAAAGCTGGGATCCACCTCCAGCATTTCACATGCGGCAACGTACCCGATGATATTAATCCATGAATTCAGGACAAGATGCCAGATACCCAGTTGGTATCCATCCAATATTCTCTCAACGGCCGGATGGAGTGGGAAGCGTAGAACAACCTGGAGGACCGCCTCGTAGCAGTCGAATGCTTGGTCCTTATAGCTGGCCAAGGTCGGCCAGGTTATCGTATTATCCTTGTTGGGAACGAACAAGGAAAAGCCATGACCCATTACGGTCTTGCGCTTGAAATTGGCAAGACCGGATGTCATAGAAGTCCGCTTGCTTTGCGGGACATGGTGATAGTAGGGGGCGCGTTCCAAGCGCCTAGAAGCACTCGGTTCCGCTCAGCCTTCCCCCTTTTCCACTGAAAAGGATTCCCTTGTAGTGCTTATCTTTGCTCGGGCCTCCTCTGAAGTAAAAGAGGCATTTTCAGAAGATGACGAGGCCGAATCGTCATCATAGCTCTCCCTAGAGCTAGGGGATTGCCGGCTGGGGCCAGCAGGGTCCTCCCCTAGACTCTCCTCCGACGCCTGTTCTGAAGGCTCGGCCTGGTATTGACTGTCAGCTTCCCGCATTATAGTATCACTGGGGGTGCCGGTTGAAGAAGGCGAAGAGTAATAAGTTGGTGTTTGGGGAAGGTCAGAAGAAGGGTTTGGGGGGGGGGTGCTCAGAAATTTCACTAGCAGGCAACCTAATGGAGCCGTCAGAGTTGACAGTCTCACTGTCCGAATGGTAAAAGGAACCATCCGGCCTATATCTCCTCGTTGTCTGCTTTGTTCGGGCCATCGTGTCCTGCAGATGCACAGACACTGTTAGATTTAGAGATGTACTTAAAGGAAAGTTCTCGAACGAGCATTCGGCACTCCTAGTTCTAGATTCAGCCGTCCCCGGTGATTGGCCGATCGCTAACCTAGGCCGTGCCGTGTACGTTTGGGAAACCATTTGATAAATGAAAAATGCAAGAAAGAATAAGTAAAAGAAGAGAGCAGGCGGTTACCTTAGAAGAAGGTATTACGAGACGCCTGGTTGGCTGAAACAGACGGATTGAAAGCCGAGCGTCGGATGCTTGACAAGTCTAGGTCTTTGAGAGTCTTTAAAGTCAAAATTCCAGAGATTCTCCAAGATTTTCAAAGGTGTGAAAACAAAAGGGGAGTCAAAACCCCCTTTTTATAGAAAGGGAAAACCCTAATTTTTCCCCCCAAAATGTAATTTGAAAATCCGGCCAGTCGGATGATGACACCTGTCACAAGTGCCATGTGTAATGCACGTGACACATATGAGGGGCAAATGATTTGGGTATTTTTATCCGGCCAGGTGGCCCAATTAGAAACCGCCATGTGTCATTGATAAAGGTTCCATCTGGGCCTTTGAGATGGTGACACGTGGTAGGCGGACATTCTTATGTTCTAAAATGATTGATGATCCAGCATGGACCATTAAGAGGGCGACGCGTGTCACCCTAAAAGATGCCAAGAAGCCTTTTGGGCTCAGTGACACGTGTCACTCAGGCATTGCCTCTGAAATGGCGGCCCTCAAGGGCCCAAACCTTGAGGCGCCATTTTGCGGCGTGACCTAATCCCTAGGTCACCAGATCCTAGGGAGGGCACACTTTTCAAAAAGACCCTATAAATAGGGACAATTCCTACATTTATGATAGAGAAAAACACACGCAATACGAGACAACATGTCACTTTCACATTTATTACACAGCTGTCGTTTTCAAGGAACAGACAACACTTTACCTGAGCTTGGAATCCGACCAGATAACTTTACTTCCGCACGTTTTACTCCGAATACTTACTAACTTAATCTTCAGAGGCGGACCACCGACCATCCGGCGGTCCGTTTGCTTTGCAGGTACAAGCATCCTTTGCTGAATCCAGTCTCAGTGTTGTAACTCTCCCAAGGGACAAAAACCCACGAAACACGTGGCGTTCTCCGATTGCGCAGCCAATCACGTCACGCAATTTTAGGATACAAACCCTAAAAAGGGGCACAAGATCCACCCTTATAAATACCCCAATCATTTATGATGGGAGGAGTGGATCAAGACATTACAAGAAATAGAGCATTAATAGCTCTAACTTCTCTCTACTTTTTCTCTCTAGCCTTTTCCGTTTCCGATCACTTACTTGATCCTCGGAGGCGAATATTCCGACAAACGGAATATTTGTTGTTTTGCAGGTGTATCAGTCTCATTGCCAGAAGAATGTGACCAGTATCCAAGGAAATTCAAAAAACACCCGAAATATTTGGCGCCGTCTGTGGGGATACTCATCTGTTATGGCAATAGACAATCAGACACCTATTCTAGGCGAGGACGGACATGTAGAGGATATAATCCCTACAATCCGTAACAACAATCCGCTGATTGCAATCAAGAAGCCGACGACCCTCCTATTACCACAGCCTCTCTGAAGGTCGCACTTAACAAGCTCCGGAAGGAGTTTGAGAACAACGGTGCCTCTACCTCTAGGAAGCCGCCCAAGAGAGTGGGGGAGAGGGCTCCAAAGAAAGTACAAAGCAAAGCGGCTAATGTAACGGACGCTGGGAGCGGAAGGTCCCCAAGGGTACCGCAGACAAATTTCTCTGATCTGTTGGCAAAAACACGGTCGGCTGGGGGGAGGAGTAGGCAGCCTCGAAGAGAAGAGCCATAGCCGACTAGATGATGGAAGGGCGCAAGGGATTACCTTCGGCATAAGCAGCGGGAACGTGCCGCTTACTCGGACACGACCTCAACCCCAACTATGCCGGATAATTTTTAAAATCATACACTCTCCCAGCATACCAACACGGCCATCTTCAGCAGAAGTCAGGCTGTCCGCACTCCAACTCCTATTCCAGTTGTTTACACTCCAACTCCTATTCCAGTTCAATCACTTCTATATCAACCTCGCCAAGGTTTCAATGGCCTGATGCAGCCGAATCCCCAAGTTTTCGGACAATAAGGGTCATACGGACAGCCACAGCCAATTGACTGGCAGATGCGCCTGCTGACTCTGGGAGATAAGCCGCCTCCATTTTCGCAAGATATTTTAACTGCCCCTCAGCCGCAGAAGGTGAAGAGTGTACTTTTGGGAGCTTATGATGGTACGAGCAACCCAGAAGAACACATCACCTTGTACAAAAACCTGATGTACTTGCAAAGTGTAGATGATGCTACCTGGTGCAAATGATTTCCGGCCACTTTGAAGGGTGTGGCACAGGAATGGTTCAATAGCCTCCCGACCGGATGTATCAATCGCTTCACTACTTTTAGTTTGCTTTTTGTGGGAAATTTTTCATACAACATACCGCCTCGAAAGACTAGCTTTAATTTGGCAACAATTGTTCAAGGAAAGAATGAGGGCCTACGGTCGTACGTCCAGCGATTTAACCCAGAAAAAGGCCAAATTCATAATCTGCCGGATGAAATGGCTTACTCTGAATTTCTCCAGGGATTAAGGCATAATGGTTTTAAATTTGACCTGGTAAGGAAAAAGATTCGGACATACGCAGGTGTTTTGCGAGAAGCCGAAGCTTATATTGAAGCAGCGGACTTTTGTTTGCTCACAATATCAGAAGCGCCGGCCAAGGGGGCTGAGAAGAAACAATCTTTTCAGAAAGACTCGGCCGCCCAAAAGAAAGAAGGAAAAAAGAGAAAACAAGTCTGGGTGGCTGATGGCCAGCCGCAGAAGTCCAAGAAGGTCAAGACGTACTATCACTAGTAGAAAAAGGCTCATTTGCGTCGCTCATTTATAGTGTATTTGTGTCGCTTCTATGAGCGACGCAACTGCTCGCGACGCAAATGATTTTAAAGTCATTTGCGTCGCTCCTAGGCGCGATGCAAATAAGAGTCATTTGCGTCGCTCCTTTATAAACGAGCGATGCAAATGACTCTTCTGATAAACTTCTTTTTTGTTATTTGCGTCACTACTTTATAAAGGAGCGACGCAAATGACTCTTCGGATAAAATTCTTGTTTGTTATTTGCGTCACTTTTTTATAAAAGAGTGATGCAAATGACTGACTAGACAATACAAAATTGATGTATTTGCGTCGCTTGTTTGTTTAATGAGTGACGCAAATGAGGTGATTTTTTTTTTAATTATAATAATTGCCTTGTATATGTTTGTAGTACCTGTTTTCCTCACTAGTGGTATAAAGTAATATGCTAACGCTAATATAATTGAAATTAAAATGCAATATTATTGAATAATGCAAATGTAAATTTCGGCATAGTCTCCTTTGTAATTTAGCCTACCCATAAATTTGGGAATGACGGCATTATATTAACAACCTGTCCAATAATTTACATCTCAATATCATAGAAATTATACTCGTCATCCCAACACCAATTAACAAAATTTTATTTCAAGCCTATAATCCAAAACAAGAGTCCAACATGCGCTAAGTTTACAACAAAACAATATTGACCTCTTCATCATTAATAAGTATAACACAAGCACCAAACCAACCAAAATGTTGGAAAATCAAATGCGTTCATTTCAAGCCTAAGAACTATAACAAAATAATCCAATAAATAATATGGAATTTGAAGCCAGCGTAATTCAATTTAGGGACAAAATCTTCATTTTCCCTAACACGATCGAACAAGTCCATAATGGAAGTCCACTTCCTTTATCTCTTGCAAATAGTTTAAATAAAGTCACCAGTTCCTGATATCAAATACAATTAATTAATAAACAATCAGAGTTGAGAATGAAGCATCAAAGCAACAAAATAATATTCTACAATTATTTAAACAACTACATTACCTTTCCAAGAAAATACTAATAGTTGTTCCTCTAATTAAGTATACTAGCAGAGGAATAAAGGATTGATGCCAATTATTTGCAAAACCTCTTAATACAAATACCAAGAATGGCATTTATACAATTCGATCAGGATTTTCTTAATACAAAAACCAAGAGTGACATAGCCATTGTAATCATGAACTAATGCATGACCTTATCTACTGCACAAAGAAGATATCAATGAGATTTACCTATAAAGACCATCACCATTAAAAGCAATCCTTGCTTCTGGTAGTTCATCCATTACCCTGCTCAATTACACAAGTCAGATATTTAGGAATATCAAATTAACATACAAGATATTTATGGTGCAATAGGAAAAAGAAATATTAGAAAGAAAATTTCCTCTAGCACAAAACATTTACAGTTCACAACTCCAAATTTGCAATTTTAGCTCTTCTTAATTATTGAGACGTTAAAATCTCAGAGAAAGACAAATTAAATTACTACAGCAAACCTCGTGATTACAATAAGATGTTTCTCTCATGACCAGTGCTTAAAAAAAAGGGAATAGTTAACCCCTCTATGTTCTACACTACTACTGTGAACAAAGCAATACTCAGAGTTAAATTAAGGAAGACTTAAAGTCTCAGACTAAAATAGTAAAAATATCCAGAATATTAGAGCAAACAAACATCATTTAAACCTTATTAACTGTACATGAGTCTTCCTTATTATCCGAATAGTGTGCTGCTGGCTGCGGGGTTTGCAAGGATAGTTCATTATTACAATGGCTATGCTAAAAAGGTTCTGCTGCCCCCCTCTGTTCTAAGACAAAATGATGCTGCTACAAGCTGGAAGAAACCGTGCCTTGGGTGTGTTAAAGTAAACTCATATGCTCATATTCTTGAGGGGTGTAAGGCAAGGCTAGGAGTGGTCGTTTATTTTTAACAAAACGACCTGGTAAAATTATTTCAATACAAACACTATGTCATAGTTTATCTTTTCACGGCCAAGTATATCATGGAACATTTTTGAGCTAAAAAATATGGGAAAGAGCTTCTCTAAGTAGTAGCAGGAGAAAAATCAACCAGAGTGAGCAGCAAAACATAACAATTAAAAAAAATAATAATAAAAAACAGTTAGATTTAAAAAACTGTAAAATGAGCAGCAAAACATAAAAGAAAATACAGTCAGATTGGAGAAAAATCAATAAAATAGTAAAATCAAAATTCACCAAATCAACTACATAAATTCACCAAAACAGAACCAAAATAGTGAAATCAACTACATAAATTCACCAAAACAGAACCAAAATTCCTTAGAATCGAGTATAAATCCTATTTTGACGAACCCTAAATTCGAATATGAACCCTAAAAAGCTGTTATTTATAAACATGCTTGTAAAACTAGAATTCATGCAAAAAACAACAACAAAATAGGTAGATGAAACATTGTTAATTTACAATTGAATCCAAATATCTATGTAGATTGAAGTGCATGATAAAAAAGAAAAGAGATGAAGAGGTCTTACCTTGCTTGAAATCGATTTTGCATATGCAACTTCAGCAACAATAGAGCCAAAATTCCATATTATTGAGTACAAACCCTAACTTTCAATTGTTATTTTTCTCAAATTTAATTAAGGTAATTTTCTCGATTTTTTGTAATTGAATTTCGTGGAGATTTTGGGTAGATTTTTTGCAAGAAAGTAGGGGATTTTTGCTCGGATTTGCTCGAATATAAGGGGTTTTGCCTCACATTTGTTGGGATTTTTGATTAGTGGTCAAATTGGTAGGTTATGAAGACGAATTTCTCAAGGTATTACTCTTAATTCGCTGATGTTTAGGGGGTTGAACAGCAGCAAAGCAACAATGGGGAATTCAGGGGTTTTACCGATCAATTTTTTGGGGTTTTGATGTTGAATTTCTGGGAATTTTGGGGTTGAATTTTCTACGGTTTGGAGTATTGAATTTCGAACAGCAGAAGGCAGCGAGAATTAATATAAGTCGTAATGGTCATTTGCGTCACTCAGTAATGAAAGATATGACGCAATTGACTCACAAAGGTTATTTCCGTCACTTGTCAATAAACGAGTGACGCAAATAACATTGTTATATGCATCGCTCCTACTTATAAAAGCGACGTAAATATAAATAAGTTGAAATATGTTTGACATTTGCGTCGCTTTATAACAAATGCCCGGCGCAAATTACTTATAAGGTTGTCAAAATATCTTATTTGCGTCATTTATTTCTATAGGTGACGCAAATAAGGCGACGCAAATGAGCATTTTTCTACTAGTGTATCCCCAGTATGAGTTCAACAAGGATTGTTACTCCATCTTGATGGAAATCAAGGATAAGTTTGAGTTTGAAAAGCCACAGCCGTTGAAAGGCCCGGCTCAATACAGGAATAAGAACAACTACTGTCATTACCACAAGGACGTGGGGCATGACATGAACGATTGCATCAATTTGAAAAGATTGTTGGACAAGCTAGCCGAGAAGGGCATGCTGAATTCTTATGTGATTAAGTCCAAATTTACTTACACACGGACAAACAACACATCCGAGAAGAGGTAGAAAATGATAAGAACAAAGACAAGGAAGATGATGGGAATAGCACTGACTCAAGCTTTGTGGCCGTGATATCAAGAGGCTTTGCTTCGGGCGGCCCAACCATGAAAGGGATGAAGCAGGACGCGTGGAACTTGGGAAAGGTGATGCAAGCGGATGCAGTAAAGACCGAATCCTTTCCCGAAGTAATCATCAGCGAGGCTAAACGGGGGGAGGTCAAAGCCCTGCACAATGATCCCATGGTATTCATTATGAAGATATCCAATTTGAAGGTTGGACGAATATTGATTGATACGGGTAGCTCGGCTGACAAGATCAGCTTAGCCGCCTTGAAGAATATAAGCTTCCTAGAGGATGATCTTCAAGACATCACTCACCCATTGGTAAGATTTGGGGGGAATATTATCCACCCAGTTGGGCGGATAGACCTACCTGTCCGCTTTGGGCAAAAAGGGGATGGAAGAGATATGGTTGTCCGCTTCCTGATCGTAAAAGAGTTGACTGGATATAATGTCATACTCGGCCGTCCTACACTGAACGTAGCCAAAGAAGTCATTTACCTCATTTAATGCTGCTGAAGTTCGAGAGGACGGACGGAAAAATTGGGACAATCCAAGGAAGTCATAAAATGGCTAAGGAATGTAATCAGTTGGCCGTTAAGCCTACAGCCCGCGGACCAAAATTGCCCGAGCCAAAAGAAGAAGGAACCTCACTCCCAGCATAACTAGTAGGCCAGAAGCGAAAGGCGACCAAGATAGAGCAAGCATAGAAGCTAATGACTGTCGGCCGGCTAGAAGAGTTAAGGCCCCAACCGGCTGGCAGTCACCAAGATATAGTGCTTAACCCAGATCAACCAGGTCGGACAGTTAGCATAGGTACTATAGCTTTGGGAATGCTTGGGGGTGAGTTAGTTCAACTGCTGAGAGAATTCAAAGATGTATTCGCATTCGATGTTGGTGAGATGTCAGGAATAAGTCCTGACCTGGCCGTGCACAAGCTGGCTGTGAACCTAGCCGTTAAACCTGTCCGCCAAAAGAAAAGAAATCATGGAGAAGAGAGGAATCAGTAAAAAAGCTGCTGGATACCTGTTTCATTCGGCAATGTTAATACCCAGACTGGGTAGCTAATGTAGTTCACGTGAAGAAGCCGAATGGAACTTGGAGAATGTGTGTGGATTACACCGATCTAAACAAGGCATGCCCTAAGGATATCTTTCCCTTGCCCAAAATCTACCTCCTTGTTGATTCAACGGCCAGGCATGCCCAGATGAGTTTTATGGACGCATACTCCGGATTCCATCAAATCCCCTTATGGGAAGAAGATAAAGAGAAAACAGCGTTCGTAACTGAGCAGGGGTTGTAATGTTACAAAGTTATGCCATTCGGCCTCAAGAATACCCCAACTACCTTTCAACGACTTGTTAATACAGTCTTCAGAGATCAGCTCGGCCGGAATATGGAGGCGTACATTGATGACATGATTGTCAAGTCAAAAGCCGCCCAACCACCTGAAGGATCTGCGAGAAACTTTTACGGAACTCAGGCAGCATAAGATGTTGTTAAATCCAAAGAAATGTGTCTTTGGTGTTGAGTCGGGTAAATTTCTCGGATTTTTTATTGACCAACGTGGAATTGAGGCCAACCCTGAAAAGATTCAAGCTGTCCTGGACATGAAGTCACCAAGGACGATTAAGGAAGTACAAAGACTGACCGGCTATTTAGCAGCACTTGGTAGATTTCTGTCAAGGTCAGGGGATAAGTGTCGTTATTTCTTTCAAACCATCAAGAAGAAAGCCATGTTTGAGTGGATAGAAGAGGCCGAGGAAGCATTCGTACAGCTAAAAATCCACCTTCATACATTGCCTCGGCTCGTCAGTCCACTCAAGAATGAGAAGCTATTTATCTATCTCGCCATCTTTGAACACTCTCTAAGTGTCGTCCTGCTTGCTGAACGGGACGGCCACCAGATCCCAGTCTATTTTATCAGCCATGTACTTCACAACGCCGAGCTGAGGTACCCCCCTATTGAATAATTTGGCTTGGCATTGTACATTGCATCAAAAAGGTTGCGGCCGTACTTCTTGGCACATTCAATTGTGGTCTACACAGACCAACCTCTGAAGAAGCCATTTACATGTTTAGAGGCAAGTGGTCGTATGCTCAAGTGGGCCTTTGAAATGAGAGGCTTTGACATTATGTTTGAGCCAAGAAAAGCAATCGTGGAACAAGCCTTTGCTGATTTCTTAGCTGAGATGACTCGGCCTGATCTTCAGCCGGCCGGAGACCAGATTTGGAAGGTGTTTGTGGACGGTAGTGCAACAGCTACCGGGTGTGGTGCAGGTATCATATGTCAGTCTCCCGAGGGAGATAAGTTTGAGTATGCTCTGAGATTTTAGTTTCAAGCCTCTAATAATGAGGCCGAGTATGAAGCCCTCTTGGTCGGCCTTAGAATGTGTAAGGCGGTAGGAGCAACAAAAGTGGATGTAAGCTCGGACTCCCTACTTGTAGTCGGCCAGGTGAACGGAGACTTTGAGGCAAGGGAGCCGGCTATGATGAAATACCTGAAGATTGTCAAGAAGGAGGCCAAGGGCCTATATCATTTTACTCTGCAATAAGTTCCTCGTTCGTCTAATCATCAGGCGGACGCCCTCTCTAAATTAGCATCCTCAGCATCATGTGATACCCCCAGATCAGTATTTTGGGAGGTAAAGGAAAGAAGGAGTATTGATGCCGAGCCGGTACATATCATTGATAGAAGCTCCACTTGGATGGACGGGATCATTTCTTATTTAAGGGATGGATTACTTCCGGCCGACCCTAAAGAGAGCTGGCTGATGAAGAAGAGAGCGGCATGGTTCGAAATGAAGCAGGGGGAGTTGTTTAAAAAGGCATTTGTGAAGCCGTACCTGAAGTGTATTACTCCTGAGAAAGGGCATGATGTCCTGGACGACTTTCACCGGGAGTAGTGCGGCTCTCATATTGGAGGACGAGCCTTGGCTGAAAAGGCTGCCCATCTGGGCTACTACTGGCTGAGCTTAAAGTCGGACGCCATGAAAATGGTGAAAAAATGTGACAAGTGCCAGAGATTTGCAACCTTGATCCATCGCCCTGCTAACAGTCTGTGGGCCATAAGTAGTCCGCTCCCCTTTGCCAAATGGGAGATGGATATCTTAGGGCCGTACACGCCAGCATCTGGTCAAAGGAGTTATGTGTTTGTAGCGGTAGACTACTTCACAAAGTGGGTGGAGGCCGAGGTTATACGGTGCATCAAGTGGACGTATGTTTCAGCCTTCATATGGAAGAGTATCATTATATGTTTTGGCATTCCTCAGTCTATGGTGTTCGACAATGGGCCCTAGTTCAAAACACCTCAACTTAAGGAGTGGTTGGAAGACCAGGGAATAGCTCATTGCTTTGCTTCAGTTGGCCGACCACAAGCCAACGGCCAGGTAGAGGCATACAACAAGTTGATCTCCAATGGTATCAAGCGCAAGCTTGAAAAGGCAGGCGGCCTATGGGCTGAAGAGTTGATCAATGTATTGTGGTCTATACGAACAACGACCAAGAGCTCCACAGGGGAAACCCCATTCTTTTTGGTATACGGCGCTGAGGCTGTTCTCCCAATTGAGAAGTATGAGCCCACTCTTAGGGTGATGCTATATGACGAAGCGGCCAATTGGGAAGCCATGAAGGCTGCCCTAGACTTCCTTCCAGAAGCTAGGGGCAATGCGGCACTTAGGAATGAAATTTATCGCCTAAGGATGACAAGGGCTTACAATCGTCGAGTGTCTAAGCATCCGCTAAAAACGGGAGATCTGGTCCTAAGGAAAATGGAGGTTGTGGGTCGGGAAAATGAAGATGGAAAGCTGACCCCAAACTGGGAAGGGCCGTATCAAATCAGTGAAGAGGTCCGAGATAGTACTTACCGTCTCGAAGCCATGAACGGACATCAGATTCCGCGTACATGGAACACTGACAACTTTAAGAAATATTATGTTTAAGTTTTAAGTACTTAGCCAAAAGCTGTATATACAGCTAGGTCTGTT